AAGGGCAGAGTCTCAAGTCGGCCATCCCTTAAACCCCCAGTAATCATCAGTTCCAGGTGTTAGCTGGCAGAAAAGTTTGAGATCACTGATTGCCTGGGGAGCACCCTCTGCCAGCCCTGGTACTGCAGATCAAAAGGCAGGTGTGAGTCCCACACCATTGGCTGCCAGTTCCATTCCTAACAGTACCCCCCCCCCACTCAAGGAGCGGCCTCAGGAGACGCTCCAAACAGTCTCCTATCTGGGTCAAAATGTTCCACCGCCCGGGTCTGCAACTGGCGGGATAGCAAAGACTGGCACACCGGCAGGACTCCGGGCAGCGGCACATCGAGCAGAGGCACTCCGGGCAGAGGCACATCACCAGCAGGACTCCGGGCAGGAGGCACATCGGTGCAGCAGGCACAATCGGGCAGGACTCCTTCAGGCAGAGGCACACACGGGCAGGACTCCGGGCAGAGGCACAACACCGGGCAGAGGCACATCGGGCAGGACTCCGGGCAGAGGCACATCGAGGCAGAGGCACATCGGGCAGCAGGACTCCAGGCATGAGGCACACCGGGCAGAGGCACATCGGGCAGGACTCTGGGCAGGGCAGGAGGCACATCGGGCATGGGAGGCACATCGGGCAGGACTCCGGGCAGATGCCACATCGGGCAGGACTCTCCTGGGAGGACAGGTAGGCACATCGGATTACCAGTGCAGAGGAGGCGAAGCAGCAGGCAGCGGGCCCCCGGGGCGGGGCGACAGGCACCCGGGCCCCCGTGGCAGAGCAGCAGGCACCGGGCCCCCGGGCGGAGCAGCAGGCACCGGGCCCCCGGGCGGGGCAGCAGGCCAGCGGGCCCCCCCCGCCGGCGGGCAGCAGGCGGGCGGGGCAAGCAGGCACCGGGGCCCCCAGGGGCGGGGCAGCAGGGCACCGGGCCCCCGGGCGGGGCGGCAGGCACCGGGCCCCCGGGCTGGGGGCGGCAGGCACCGGCCCCCCCGGGCGGGCGGCAGGCACCGGGCCCCCAGGCGGGGCGACAGGGCACCGTGCCCCCAGGCGGGGCGACAGGCACCGTGCCCCCATGGTGGGCGACAGGCATCGTGCCCCTGACCCCAGGGCGAGCGGCGGGCGCCGGACCCCCAGGCGGAGCGACAGGGTCTCGGGCCCTCAGGCGGAGCGGCGGGCGCCGGACCCCCAGGCGGAGCGACAGGTCTCGGGCCCTCAGGTGAGCGGGCGGGCGCCGGACTGCCCCCAGGAGGAGCGACAGGTCTCCGGGCCCTCGGCGGAGCGTCGGGCGCCGGACCACCCCCCAGGTGGAGCGACAGGTCTCGGGCCCTCAGGCGGAGCGGCAGGGCCCGGACCCCCAGAGCGGAGCGACAGGTCTCGGGCCCCATAGCGGAGCGGCGGGCGCCGAGGACCCCCAGGAGGAGCGACAGGTCTCGGGCCCTCAGGCGGAGCGGCGGGCTGGGCCGGACCCCCAGGTTGGGAGCGACAGGTCTCGGGCCCCTCAGGCGGAGCAGCGGGCGCCGGACCCCCAGGCGAGCGACAGGTCTCGGGCCCATAGGCGGAGCGGCGGGGCCGGGCGCCGGACCCCCAGTAGGAGCGACAGGTCTCGGGCCCCCTCAGGCGAGCGGCGGGCGCCGGACCCCCAGATGGAGCGACAGGTCTCGGCCCTCAGGCGGAGCGGCGGGCGCCGGTCCCCCCCAGGTGAGCGACAGGTCTCGGGCCCTCAGGCGGAGCGGCGGGCCGCCGGACCCCCAGTATGGAGCGACAGGTCTCCACGGCCCCTCAGAGCGGAGGCGACAGGTCTCAGGCCCCCAGGCGGAGCGGCGGGCGCGCCGGATCCCCCCAGGCGGAGCGGCGGGCCGCTGGACCCCCAAGCGGAGCAAAACAGGTCACCGAAGGGCCCCCCAGGCGGAGCGCGCGGCTGGCACCGAGTCACCAGGCACGACAGTGGGCTCCGAGTCAACTGGTATGACCGCAGGCACTAGGTCAGACATTGGTATAAGGTCTGGCTGGACAGCGGGCATCGGGTCACCAAGGCAACCAGGTCATTTGGCTCGACAGCGGGCACCACGTCGTCATCTGGCAAGGCAGTGGGCTCCGAGTCAACTGGTATGACCCGGCGGGCACTGGGTCAGAACATTGGATCGTCTGACCGGACAGCGGCGCATCGGGTCACCAGGCATCAGGTCATTTGGCTCGACCGCGGGGCACCAGCGTCATCTGGCAAATGGCAGTGGGCTCCGAGTCAACTGGTATGACCCACCGCGGGCACTGGGATCAGACATTGTATGGTCTGGCTGGACAGTGGGCATCGGGTCACCAGGCATCAGGTCATTTGGCTCGACAGCCGGCACCGTGTCATCTGGCAAAGGCAGTGGGCTCCAAGTCAACTGGTATGACCGCGGGCACTGGGTCAGACATTGGATCGTCTGACTGGACAGCGGGCACTGGGTCACCAGGCATCAGGTCATTTGGCTCGACACAGCGGGCACCGCGTCATCCGGCAAGGCAGTGGGGCTCCGAGTCAACTGGTATGACCCGCTGGCACTGGTCAGACATTGTGATCGTCCTGGACTGGACAGCGGGCACTGGGTCACCAGGCATCAGTCATTTGGCTTCGACAGCGGCACCGCGTCATCTGGCAAGGCAGTGGGCTCCGAGTCAACAGCGCACGACAGTGAGGCACCGGGGCATCAGGTACCGGATTGTCTGGCTCGACAGCGGGCATCGGGTCCACCAGGTATGAACAGCGGGCAACTGGGTCACCAGGCATCAGGTCATTTGGCTTGTTCAGCGGAGCACCGCGACATCTAGCAAGGCAGTGGGCACCGGGTCACCAGGCATTGGATCGTCTGGCTCGACAGTCGGGCATCATCCGGTCAGCGAGCCAGGTATGACAGCCGGGCACTGTGGTCACCAGGCATCAGTTCATTGGCTTGCCAGCTGGCACCGCGTCAATCTGGCAAGGCAGTGGGCACCGGTCACCATATATGACAGCTGGGCTCTGAGTCAATTGCACGACAGCGGGCACTGGATCAGGTACCCGGATCATCTGGATCAACAGCCGGGCATCGAGTCAACTGGCCTAATAGGATCGTCGGGCTGGATCAGTTCATCATGCTGAGTAGCGGCATCAGGCTGAATGCAGGCATCCGGCTGAATGCAGGCATCCGGCTGAAGAGAGGCATCCGGCTGAAGAGAGGCATCCGGCTGAAGAGAGGCATCCGGCTGAAGAGAGGCATCCGGCTGAAGAGAGGCATCCGGCCGAGTAGAGGCATCAGGCCCGAGAGTAGAGGCATCAGGCCGAGTAGAGCATCAGGCCGAGTAGAGGCTTCAGGCCGAGTAGAGGCTTCAGCGCCGAGTAGTGGGCTTCAGGCCGAGTAGAAGGCTTCAGGACAACCGAGTCACGGAAGGCAGGTTCACCGGTTTGGATACTGGCAGGATGGTATTGGTTGGAAAGAATTTCGCTATCGCTTTTTCTGGTTTTAACTACTGGAGCACTGCAAGTAAACGCAGGTCTGCAAACTTAGGGAAAAAAAAAATGGAGCAGCTGGAGACAGAGAAAAACTGGAGGATGGAACAGGAGAGGGAGCAGTTTGCTCTACAGAGGGCTCTTTTAACAGGGTTAAAGGCAGGATAGGTGCAGCGAGTGGGAACAGGGTACTGACATGCGGTAGATAGCAGGGCAGGAGGAGCTGGTGGGAATACAGGAGTAGAGTTAGAAAGCAGGACTGGGTCTTTGTAAGCTGACTGAGGCTGGGTGCAACAAATCTGTCCACATGTCAGCAGTAAGGGGTTGAACAAAGCTAGAGCTTACAACAAAGTCTGTCCTGTACCAATGACTGCACACTGCGTTAATACAATCTCTTAGTGTCTGTGGTGAACATGTAGGAATAACGCTCCAGAAAGTAACCCACATCATCCTCTAATAACCACAACCAGGGACTCTACCTGGTCCCTGCACTAAATGGTGGCAAAAATTCATCCCTGCATTCGGGGGAACCAGATGAAACCAACTAACTCCGCACAAACCTCATCAATGGGCTGCACCTCAGAGAACTCTGTGCCCTGATCTACTAGAACATGATCGAGCCGTATACATACTAGCAATATCATTCCGGGTATACTCCTTCAGATGTTTTGATAAGCATACTCCCTGTCATCAAACACTAGCAGATATAAATAACACAACCTCATCAAGATCCATCCTTCCCATCCAACAAGCCAAGATGGCTTCCCTGTGCAGCCACTTCTGGTCAGGATTGGCCTTGGTGTAATGTCAGGGCTCCCAGGTATGACCAGAGGTGTGTGACTGAAGCAGGGAAACGCAGACTTCAGATATGTGATAAACAAATACACAATTATTAACACTAACCATACAAACATAAAACCAGTGCAATACTAAACATAATACAGTGCAAACAAACCAAACCAACCACCCACAGATAACAGTATAATACAAGCAAGCGTCGTCAGGCAGGCCGGGTCAATATCAATTGGGCAGGTAGGTACGGTGGGATGCAAGCAGAGAATGGTCGGGGTCACAGGCCAGGTTCAGCAGGTAGCAAGCAGCGAGGTACAGAGGGTCAGACAGAGGGGTGGTCAGGGTCACAAGCCAGGATCAGAGCAGGAGAAGTCAGCAGCAGTTCAGATCAGGGTCAGCAAAGGAACAGAAACAGGATGCAGGACAGATACAGGGCCCAGGACAAACACAACACCAAGGCAGAGTCTGCAAGTCTGGCCATCCCTTAAATACCCCAGTATCATCAGTTCCAGGTGTTAGCTGGCTGAAAGGTTGAGTCTCTGATTGCTGGGAGCACCCGCTGGCCAGCCCTGGTACTGCAGATCAAAAGGCAGGTGAGTCCCCACCCATTGCTGGCCAGTCCATTCCTAACAGATCCACAGCTCAGGTTGGAGAATCTGTCCTCAGGACAACTAATAGTCCGTAAAGTCCACAAAAATCTGAGACCTCTATGGAAGAGTGACAAGAAGAAAGCCATTGTTGGAGGAAAGCCATAAGAAAGTCCCGTTTGCAGTTTGCGAGAAGCCACGTGGGGGGGACACAGCAAACATGTGGAAGAAGGGACTCTGGTCAGAGGAGACCAAAATGGGGACTTTGTGGCCTAAAAGCAAAACGCTATGCCCTTACATAGTTTATTAACAATGGATCACATTACTCACATCGCCTCTGATCAACGTACATCATCTATTAAAACAATTTATTTATTTATTTTTTGATAAAGTCGTAATGACGAAACGCGTCAGATGTAGCCGGAAGTGTAGCGGTGGCCATTTTGGATGTGGGTCCTGTCTAAGGAAATATACAACGCTGATGTACATCTCACATATGTAAAGCGCTTTTTTTACTGAAATAAATCGGATTACTTGGAGTTGTTACGCAATTATTTATTATTATTATTATACAGGATTTATAACGCGCCAACAGTTTGCTCAGCGCTGTATATATTATACAGGATTTATAAGGCACCAACAGTTTGCTCAGCGCTGTACAATATAACGGAGACAGTACAATTACAATACATTTCAGTACAGAAGGAATAGGAGGGCCCGGCTCGTGGAGCTTACAATCTAAAGGAAGGGGGAAGTGATACAAAAGGTGATAGCTGCGGGGGGATGATCTGGTGGAGTTGATTCAAGTACAGTTCTTAGGTGGAGGTGGGGTAGGCTTCCCTGAAGAAGTGTGTTTTCAAAGATCGCCTAAAGGCATACAGGGTGGGGGCTGACCGGCATGCTGTGGTAGGGAGCTCCAGAGGATGGGAGAGGCTCTGGAGAAGTCCTGGAGGCGAGGGTGGGAGGAGGTGATGAGGGAGCTAGAGAGGAAGATATCATGGGAGGAGCGGAGTGGGCGATTTGGGCATATCTGCGGATGGAGGTTGGTGATGTAGCTAGGGGCAATGTTGTGGATGGCTTTGTAAGCTGTGGTTAGTATTTTGAAGTTTATACGTTGGGTTAGTGGAAGCCAATGGAGGATTGGCAGAGACGGGCAGAAGTTGCTGATTGGTTGGTAAGGTGTATGAGTCTAGCAGCAGTCACTGATCGGTCTCGGTAAGGTGTATGAGTCTAGCAGCAGTTGCTGATCGGTTGGTAAGGTGTATGTGTCTAGTAGCAGTCGCTGATCAGTTGGTAAGGTGTATGAGTCTAGCAGCAGTCGCTGATCGGTTGGTAAGGTGTATGAGTCTAGCAGCAGTCGCTGATTGGTTGGTAAGGTGCATGAGTCTAGCAGCAGTCGCAGATCGTATTTTTGGTAAGGTGCATGAGTCTAGCAGCAGTCGCTGATCAGTTGGTAAGGTGTATGAGTCTAGCAGCAGTCGCTGATCGGTTGGTAAGTGTGTAGGAGTCTGGCAGCATCACTGATCGGTTGGTAAGGTGTATGAGTCTAGCAGCAGTCGCTGATCGGTATCGGTAAGGTTATGAGTCTAGCAGCAGTGCTGATCGGTCGGTAAGGTGTATGAGTCTAGCAGTTGCTGATCGGTTGGTAAGGTGTATGTGTCTAGTAGCAGTCGCTGATCAGTTGGTAAGGTGTATGAGTCTAGCAGCAGTCGCTGATCGGTTGGTAAGGTGGTGTATGAGTCTAGCCAGCAGTCGCTGATTGGTTGGTAAGGTGCATGAGTCTAGCAGCAGTCGCTGATCGTTTGGTAAGGTGCATGAGTCTAGCAGCAGTCGCTGATCAGTTGGTAAAGGTGTATGAGTCTAATCAGCAGTCGCTGATCGTTTGGTAAGGTGTAGGAGTCTGGCAGCAGTCACTGATCGGTTGGTAAGGTGTATGAGTCTAGCAGCAGTCGCTGATCGGTTTGGTAAGGTGGATGAGTTCTAGCAGCAGTCACTGATCATTGGGTAAGGTGTATAAGTCTAGCAGCAGTCGCTGATCGGTTGGTAAGGGTGAGGAGTCTAGCAGCAGTCACTGATCGGTTGGTAAGGTGTATGAGTCTAGCAGCAGTCGCCGATCGGTTGGTAAGGCGGAGGAGTCTAGCAGCAGTCGCTGATCGGTTGGTAAGGTGTATGAGTCTAGGCAGCAGGTCACTGATCGGTTGGTAAGGTGTATGAGTCTAGTAGCCAGTCGCTGATCGGTTGGTAAGGTGTATGAGTCTAGCAGCAGTCGCTGATTGGTTGGTAAGGGTATGAGTGTAGCAGCAGTCGCTGATGTCTGGGTTGGTAAGGTGCATGAGTCTAAAGCAGCAGTTTGCTGATCGGTTGGTAAGGTGTATGAGTCTAGCGGCAGTCGCTGATTGGGGGATATCTGTACTGTTCTGATATTTTTTGGGCCTCAAGAAATTAAATTGGCCGTCAGTACTTCAGGATTGGTCAATTTCAGATATATACCCATAGTTTGTGACCTCTATAACTTTACAATATGAAGAATACGTGTGTAATATTAATACACTATATGCGATTTATATTTCTCGGAGGGTTTGATTTCCTATGGGGAAGAACTTTTGAAGGAGGAATTCATGAGTCAAGAATTCATGTAAAGCAAGCTCTCTATACACGGAGGGTAAGGCCCCTGTACACGGGACACTTCTGAACGATGGAAACTGACTGCTGGAAAACGTAGGTTAAAACCCGCCTGTGTAGCCGCGTTTGCATAACACGTTTATGTGCATTTGCAAGCGATTTTTAAAGATAAGCACATATGCCCAGAATGCACTGAAAAGTGGTAAATTATGAACTATTTCAGACTGTTTCAAAGAAATACAGACAGTAGAAGCAGAGACAGCAGTATGTGTTGAGAATGGCTTAGGTGTGAGTTGCTCATCAACATTTCTTTTGTTTCCAAGGGTGGGAAAGGTGTCTGGTGGAGGGAGTCAATAAGGCCACCTGGGCAGGGGGTCTTCATGAGGAATTTGAGATGTGAATGGTCAGTAACATATCTTTTGTTTCCATATCTTTTGTTTCCAAGGGTGGGAGAGGTCTGAGGTGTGAATGGTCATTAACATATCTTTTGTTTCCAAGTGTGGGGGAGGTCTG